ATTAAGTCAATTAGTAGAACTTCATACACTGTGCAATATAACCTTGGACAATAACTGAGGATAGCAGGTACACGTCACATTCTTAGAAAGCGAGAGAGATAAACTTTCTGTTAATCAGAGATCTAGATAATCTTAGGGATAAACTTCAACACACACAGTTATCTCAACTCTTCGTGAATGACATTAAAATTCAACAATCCTGTTTCACGACCTGAAGCATAGATGTCGTCTTGATGACTGAAGTTGTAAATCCACTCTTCCAATTCCTTCATGCCAGCTTTATAGCCTTCTTCAGTACGAAAATCATGATTTGTACGAAATATATAGCCAACGCGATTGTCTATGGGGTCTCCTTCTCTGTAATTTGTCTCGTAGCGATTTTTATTCGGATACGGAATCGAGTTGTCGTCATCGCCATTCTCGTTATTTTCATCAATGTATTTTGTCTCATAACGTGTCCCGTCTTCAGAATGAATCGAATTGTCCTCATCATATGCGGAATAGTTGTAGGAGTCCTGTTCCTCGTATCTAATTCTATAGTCCTCATCCTTGAGCGAAACGAAATTTTGCTCCCCATTTGATTCCACTTCATTACCAAAAAGATCCACAAATCTTCCCCAGTAGCTTCTCGCAAAGCCAGTACTAATGAAAAAAGTTATCTTAAATATAATGATACAGTGAAACATGTGAAAGTATGGGCACATAGGAGTAATAAGGTCAAATTTTTTTTACTACGAGTCTAATAATTCTGTAAACGAAATCTTGGAATCAAGACAGACAACTATTTTTGGCTTTGAAGCGCACACGAGCAACTCACTGTCAGCAATGTTGGTCTCATTTTAGTTATTTCATCGAGCTGCTTCAATACTCAAATTGTAAATGTAAAGAGAAAGAGGCGTTGTTTTTACGTCTAAACATATTCAAGCAGAGAGCTAATTCATCAAAAAGGTATTGCGATACAAAACAGAGTATGCAAAGTACATTTTATTTCAAAACGTAAGCAAAATTGCGTTCTAATCGACCAAATCTAATTTTGTGCAAATCTAACTGTGTGCTTAACTGCAATCCGTGCCTACTGAAGAACCAATAAAGCACCATCAGAAAGCCTAGGATTTTCTCAGTACTCTTTGATTCATCAAGAGTGGCGGCTGGTGGGTGGTGCTCATATGCTCGGCAGCACGCCTGGCTCTGCGCCTCTTTCGCGATCGTGCTCTCCGGTAAATAAAGCTCCTCTTTCTCATGCTTGTGATGAGAAAATGAACAGGGTTCACTCTCACAAAAGAGGTGCTGAGCAGAAGCAGCCCCACCCACCAATCACCAAACCCGATGAATCAAGGAGTTCCA